GTAAATGATGACGTGGATAGGTCCTCGGTGCGAGGCTGCTAACGAGCTATATCCACCCTGAAGGTTAATCTTGGACAATATCTGATGATCGACTCTTTTAAATGAAACCAGAGAGCGTTGACAGAGAGGAGAAGGTAGAAATGACTCAGCCTGGAACTGAAAATATGGATGGAGGACAACAGAGCTGCTTCATGGAAGAAGAACCTCAGCTTAGCCTGTTAGTCTTTGCACTAACACAGACGCTAGACTGCCTTATATGTTTTAGCTCAGTGCTCAAGCTAAACTGAGGTCCTCCATCCATATTTTCACTGCATTTGGTTTTACCAGGTCTGTCTGTCAGATTTCCTCGCCACTGGATCCAACTCACCACCAAGTGGTGATCAGTTGACAGCTCTCACCCTCTCTTCACCCGAGTGTCCAAGACAGAGGGCCACAGGTCAGACTACGCAATTGAAAAATATTTTATTGACTTTTGACTAAGGTGGCCTAGTACCAAGTACACTTATGAACCACCCTGTTCTCAAACAAAGTGTTCATTATGGGCAACCTGTGCTTAGCACAGAAGTCCAATACCAGAACACCATTTAGGTTTAGATCCCAATCACCCCCTTTATAGATGACTCTGTCACTGCCCACATGGGCATTGAAGTCATGCAGTAGAACCAGGGAATTCCAACACTGCACCMCTTCCAGGACACCATCCAAAGACTCCAAAAAAGCTGGGTAATCTGAACTGATGTTTGATGTAAAAGTAAAAACAACAGTCAGAACCTTCCCTCCTGCAGCAGGAAGACACATGGAGGAAACCCTCTCATTCACCGGGGAGGACTCTAACACAGAGGAATATAGCCAGGGGCTTGTGAGTGAGGGTGAGACAATTTATTGTCTAGTAAAATTTGTTGTCATGACAGCCCTATTCATTTTTGAACYGTAATATTGCTTAAAATGTCCTTTCCCAGTTTCCACTCCAGTCTGAAGCTCTGCCAAATGGTGTCAGCTAGTAAATACGAAGTTAACAYAGTACTAAATCATTTGGAGTTTTTTTATTGTTTTGTTTTTACCATTACTYGGACCATAGTTTTACAAAAATTGTATTCCATACTGAAGATTTCATTATGTAAAACATAAACAGAAGTATAATTGTATTTGACTCTTGCTCTTGGTGGAGAAGGATGYGTTTTTCCTTCTCTCCTACCTCCCCTATCTTTCCTGCTTGCTGTGTGTTATGTGTAGCTTGCTGATTGTTTTCTTTGCATACTGATTATGCTATTTTTATTTTTATGGATTTGGTTAGCTAGTCTCTTAATGAAATTTTGGATCAAATTTCTTGCATGGGAGGACAGGTCAAGGGGGGACCTCTGTTCGACTGTGACAACTAGCTGGATATATCCTTGTTCCTGTGGACGTGGAAACTGATATGCTTGGCTGATTTGTCCCTGGAGGATACTGAAGATTTATACATATTTAGTTTCTGATCACTGGATTTCTGCTGATTGGACTTGGTTATCTGATGTAGTGCTGTACCAAACGATTATTTTCTAATCGATTAATCTAACGATTATTTTTTCKATTAATCKATTATTCTAACAACAAATCTATAAGTTCTTCTGATGTGAGTGCACTGGAAATTTAAAATGTTTTCATCAAATTAACAAGAACAGGTCTTTAATATTGTAATATTTTCTTTAATAGTTTTTTCATGGACACAAAATATGCACTCTAGAGTCAATTCTTTAAAAAAAGCTTAAAAGATTTAACATCAATATAAAGTCTCAGCCAAAACATATAAAATTCAAGTAAAAGAAATATAGTGCAAGATGTTAACAATCTAACAAATGAACTAAATCATGCAAAATTCAAGTCACTCTGGAAAAACTATAATAAACATTTATTTATTATTTTTTATTTAACATATTTCTTAATATATAAAAATTAACAAATATCAAGACAACTCTTTGTATTGTAACATCAATTGTGTAACTTATTTCTTTAAAGGTGAAAACTGTTGAAAACAACAAGAC